TGATAGGAAGACTTACATCTCATTCAATGCACTGGATCCTATTATTGAAACAAATTCATTTATATACTTGTCTTGGCTGTGTCAATGAATTATTTCCTAAATCTCAGAAATTGAAAGCACAGCCTCCTACGTTCTGGGACTGCTCACTCTAACCTCCAGTAGTCAGACAAGTGTTCACTAACTATGCCACCTCTTAACATTGCTGTGGAAATTCAAGTTAATTCTGGACATCAACAAGAGGTCTCTCTTAAAAACACCTTTTAATTATAAGATATTATATATTAATAGTATCAAATACAACTTTGCTTTTCCCCAATCTTGGGTTGGCAAATTCCAACAACCGAGCAAATGTAGATCCAATGCCAGGGAAGACTGACATAGTAACAGCATCAATGTTCTTGGCTGCCTTCCCTTTGTTATACTGCTCCCTTTCCCCCTTCTTGCCCCTTATCCCATCATTAAAGGAATATCAGTTGACTACACATAGCTGAGGGAGACCAGAACTAATGTCTGCCAAGTCTAGTCAACTTGATTTAATCCTCATTAACAACTCTATGAGACAGGTACTAACATTATCCAATTTTTACAGTGAGGAAACTGATGTCTGGTATGGTTAAGTGACAGAAAAGTGACTTAAAAGACTTATCTGCTTGGTTCCAATGTTCTTTCTATTAGACCACAATACTCCTAACCACATATTGTGATATAGATGTTTTTCTGTACCTGGAAACATTTAAAATTACAAATATTTAGGTACTCATTTCACTTCACCAAACTACTCTATAAACTCCCTAGGCTAAAAACACAGAAGTAGAAAAAATGTGACTTTGCCGTCAAAACATCAGACCTGAGTTCAAATTCCAGCTCTATTATGTACTAGTTGTATGACCTTAAGCTAGTGACTCATCCTGTCTAAGATGGTGATGGGCCCTGGCTGGTTTGGCTCAGCGGTTAGAGCATCGGTTAGAGCATCGGCCCGTGGACCAGAGAGACCCGGGTTTGGTTCCCACTAAGGGCACGTACCTTGGTTGCAGTTTGTCCCCCGCCCCGGTTGGGGTTGTGTGGGTGGCAACCAGTTGAGGTGTCTCTCTCTCTCTCTCTCTCTCTCTCTCACATCGATGCTTCTCTCTTTCTTCCTCCCTCTCTCCCTCCTGCTCTATCTGAAGATAAATGCAAAAAGTATACTCAGATGAGGATAAAAAAAAAAATGGTGATGGTACCCACATCATAAAAACTGTTGTTAGGATTAAACGAGATGTCTAGTAATTGCTAGTTCAGAGGGTGGCTTGTGAAAATATTAGTTCCCACCAATATGCTACACTAGCCATATAACCTCAAACAAGTCACTTGAACAGGTAAGATTGTTTTCTCATCTGTTACACCGAAAGATCACTCTGTGGTTGTGAGGATGAAACGAATGTGTCAAAGCTCTTTGTAAACTGTAAAGCACTAGAAAAAGGTAAGCTATGGTCCCCAACAGAGCTTACCACAATGCCTTGCACAAAACAGATTTCAGTAAATGTCTGATAAATGCAACATAAAAGGGAACTTTGTTAATGCTGACATGTCCCAAATCATCTTTTCAGAGCACTACTAACCCATGCGCAATCTTTATCCCCAGAGAACAAGAAGCAAAGTCAATTCAAAGGAACTTGTTAAGAATCATCTTAATTCACCCTACCATGAGGACCCTAGGGCTCTCATCCTTAAGCAATATTTAAGCTTTCCTCATGACTGAGTAAACTAATAAGCCACATGGCAAATAAACTGACCCTCATTTATGACTGGCTTTGGTATGTTTTTGTACTTTTATTTAAATGCTTTTGTCTTATAATCAGAAAATTTGGAACATTTTAAGAGGTACAATGTTACTGAGATAAAGTGATATGCAAAACTTCCATTACTGTGGAGAAAACGATATTCAAAACTTCCACCTTCTGCAACTCCACTGTCCTCTTCCAAGCTTCCTCTTACATCCCACTGCTGTGGATAGACATAGGACTTCTTAGCCTGCAGTGAACTGCCAACAGAAAGCAAAACAGGCTCATCTCCAATTGCTAGTTCATACCTTCTCTAGTTGGGCTGGAATTTAGTATTTCCTTTAAAAGGCCTTCTCTTCCATTTCCTGCTGGGTCGGAGTAAACAAATATACAGTTTATATCAACAGGTTTAATTAAACAGAGCAATTACTACGTCAGCAAGATGAGCCAACATGTGATGGTATTTTCCACTGGAAGTGGAGGTCACAGGTAGTGCTCCCCTAGACCACAAACACCAACAGTTTTCTTTCAGGAATCTCAGGGCACTTTAATTCTCTTCTAGCATGCTTAAACAATCCTCCATCTTAAAAAACCCAAAAGTCCATGCTCTTAAATGAGATGAACTTTTCATGTCATTTAAGCAACATGTTACCAGCTGCCAAGATTAGCTGTTTTCAGTAACAGCCCAGCAGGCTCTTCTAATCCTAAATGAATCCAAGGAGGAATCACAAAGCAGCCTCAAAGGTTGGTTTCAAGGGAAAGCCAATATAGCTTACTCATAAATATCTCTACAAATGGAAGAACTAGAAAGAAATCCAAATACAGCCCTCCAACCTAATTTAGTTTTTAGTTTCTGACTTTTCTTCCCAGAAAACCTTATTCAAGACTTTATAAGCAGGCCACAATGTAAGAAAAGTAAAGATTTCTGGTTTTCCCCAGCCTATTACTTCCTATTGCTTTCTTGAACAAGTAGGTAAACTGGTTTACAACAATGCTAGTAAACAACTAAAATTGACCAGCAGAAAGCAAAATCATAGAAGTGAAGATAATACACAAGCTAAATAACCACAAACCACAGGGTGAAGTAAAAGTAGGTTTACTATTGTTCCTATTGAAAATAATACAGTATTTAATAAGTAATAATACAAGAACAAACTCTGTTTTGCATACTCACAATTATAAACCTACTTTTGCCCCACCCTGTATTTATACCCAAGGTCAAATAAAAGAGAACTTCTTAACAACCCTTCCCTTACACTACTCCAAGCCCTCTCAGATAAATGGTAGCACTTATTGGTCACAGAGAAGAAATTAGTATCTTTTAAATTTGAGAAAATCATCTCTCGGGTAATCTTTCTTTTACTACTCAGTAAAGGTCCATTTATTTAGTGACAGACTTCACATACCATATAGATACCAAAGAATAACTTAGATCCTATTTCTTTCAACATACTAGGAATAAACTATTTCATTTGAATCTTTTAAAATCTCTTCAGCTAATAGAAAACCATCCAAGGAGTTCCTACACTCTAGTAGGAGGTACCTGACTAAGCCAGGGCTTCAAAAACCTTTCTGTTTCTAAGAATGGGGTGTTCTGTATGCAACAGCCTTTAGTATGAAACCTAAGACCCTTCCCAATCTGTCCTCAGCCATCACTAAAAAACATGTGGTATTTCCCTGGAATCTGGAAAGGGAGCTCTGTATCTGAAGTAACTACATTCTACTAGCCTCAGTTACCCTCTATTGTTTCAGTTGCCCAAATATTTCCTTGTTTCGCTCAACTCTTAGCACACACACCACATTCCCAAGACAGGCAAGAGAATATACATTATTACAAGACTCCTCTGGAGGGAAAAACTTCCACCACACTAATTCAAGAGACTTAAGGAAAGGCAACTGCTACTAAAATCGAAGGCCTAACTTATTCATTCAACAAATATTCATTAAACACCTACTCTGTGCAAGGCTCTGTACATTCAGTGATGAACAAAACAGGTATAGTTCCCATCCTGACAAAAGAAAGTTTGGTGAGATAGAAAAGTAAACAAATGATATACAATTATAATTACAAAAAGGCTATGAATAGGGTAATCTTGGTCCCAATGTGCCCAGGGCACACTGATCTATACTTGTCCCAGTGTAAAACAAAAGCAATCCCCTTTAAGAAATGTCCCAGGTTGGAATATAAATGATATACCACCTTAGCTCAAAGGATAAGGTACCATAAGAGAATAATGGGGGCAAGTTACTTTAGCCTGGGTAATCAGACTTCTTAGAAGAGGTGCCATTTAACTAAGTCCTGATGGAGAAGGCTCCAGTCATTTTGGAAGGAGTGTTTCAAGTACAGGGGACAGTGAAGGCTTAGGATATTATTATTATTAATCAACATGAACTTTGGCTGATAGAACTGAAGAGTCAAAAAAGTGATTTGGGGGTTCCCAGAGATCATTTGTACATCCAAAATTAAAATATCCTAAACCTTCAACTAGTTAGACCTCAAAATTCAAACATAAAGACCAAGATGAAGCTCTAAAGCAGTGGCTTTAAAATTTTTATAGGTCATGAATCCCTGAGAATCTGAAGAATGCTCTATATTTTCACCCAGGACAAACATATATTCATGTGTGCACACACATGCAATTTCAGGAGATTGCACAGGCAATACCCCTACCTATCCCCATCAACTCCAGAAGTTCACTCATGGACTCCAGGTTTTTTAAAAAAGCCCACTTTCCCCCTGGCTGATGCAGCTCGGTGGTTAGAGCATGAGCCTGCAGACCAAAGGGTGGAAGGTTTGATTCCTGGTCAAGGGCATATACCTGATTTGCAGGTTTGATTCCCCGGGTCAGGTCGGGGCACGTGTGTGTGAGAGGCAACCAATCAATATGTCTCTCTCACATCAATATTTCTCTCCCCCCGCCCCCCAACACACACACACCTTCCACTCTCTCTAAAAATCAATGGAAAAAATATCCTCAGGTGAGGATTACCCCCCAAAAAAAGTTCTCTTTCACAAAGGACAAAAGCAAGTTCTCAACTCTATTTCTCTATTTGGGCATTAATGTTTCTTAAAGTCTTCTGAAGATATCCAGGAATAAAACTGAACATTTTAAAAAAGATATCAGATCAATTATAAGTCAATGAAAAACAAACAATAGACAATGTACGTATTATCAAGAGTCAATTGAGACTCAATTTTCCCACTATTTTGGAGAGCCAGAACTACCCTCAAGTCCTTACCTTACTAACATTGAGTGAAGCTAGGGGAGGTGGGGTTTCTGTTCGGTCATTAATTATTTCCACTTCTGAAACATACTGTAAGTTTATGAGCAAGATGTCTGCATGGTTGGGCTTTCCACTGGAAGAGGGACATTCTGATAAAAAAATAAAGTTAAGGAAAACAGGGGCAAGCAGAGCACTGACAGATCCCAAACAGAGCATGGAAAACACAATTCACAAAAGACCTGTGTAAAAGGTGTGCCTCAAACAAGAGGGGGGAGCCTTACAAGAGTCAAAACTCTCCTCAGGAAATCTCTGCCTATCACCTTCCTCCCGCTCAACCTCATAACCAAGATCTCAAGCTTTTCAAAGCCATATACAATGCAAAATTAGAAGCCTTGAAAGAATTTTTGTTACCTTCTCTCTACCAGTTTTATGGAGGCATAATGCAGTTTTAATGCCTTATGTATACTGTTTGTCTTGAACCTAATGAACCACATAGAATAGGCAGTGCTTTCTGCTCTTGGTGTAATACTCCTTTTATCTGTACAGTGCTCTTATCACTTTTTCGGACTTTAGATTTCCCATTTTGCAGAGAAGAAAACTATAGCACTAGAAGAGAAGGTGAACCAGCTAGTTAACCCATTTATTCATTCATTTTCCAACTATTTAAGAACATACTGTATGCCAATTAAAGGCAGAGTAACTCCTTATTCCCTAACCCTTCCAACTAAACCACTAATGTAAAATAGTCTTATCTGGTATGAATTCTTGTATTAAAAAAAAAAGAAAGAGCCCTGGCCGGTTTGGCTCAGCGGTTGGAGCGTCGGCCTGCGGTACAGAGAGACCCAGGTTCGGTTCCCGCTAAGGGCACGTGCCTCGGTTGCAGTTTGTCCCCGGCCCTGGTTGGTCGTGCGGGTGGCAGCCACTCGATGTGTCCCTTCACGTCAATGTTTCTCTCTCTCTCTCTTCCTCTCTCTCCCTCCCGCTCTATCTGAACAAAAAATGGAAAAATGTCCTCGGGTGAGGATAAAAAAAAAGAAAGAAAAAGCAGCCCTGGCCAGGTAGCTCAGTTGGTTGGAGCTTCATCCAAGATACATCAAGGTTGCAGGTTCACTCTCCTGTCAGGGCACATACAAAAATCAACCAATGAATGCATAAAAAGTGAAACAACACTCTCTCTCTAAAATCAATAATAAATAGTTTTTTTAAAAGCAATTGTTCCGCCCTGGCCGGTTTGGCTCAGCGGTTAGAGCGTCGGCCTGCGGTCCGGAGAGACCCGGGTTCGGTTCCCGCTAAGGGCACGTACTCCGGTTGCAGTTTGTCCCCGGCCCTGGATGGTCGTGCGGGTGGCAGCCACTCGATGTGTCCCTTCACGTCGATGTTTCTCACCCTCTCTCCCTTCCTCTCTCTCCCTCTCATTCTATCTGTACAAAAAATGGAAAAATATCCTCGGGTGAGGATAAAAAAAAAGAGTTAAAAGCAATTGTTCCTGCTGTATTCGTTTCAGAGGTCATCTTCCTAAACTAGACCTACAACTAGTGGCAAATTAATTAACATATTTGCCACTCAAATGCAATAGAAAACTTCCTTTTGAAAGATGCTACAAAAAAATGATTACTCCTCAAAAAAAAAAAAATCCAAATAAACCCAAGTGTGGCTCAAATAAAAGAGGTAGGGGTGGCACATTTATTACAACCAGGAAGCATTTTGTTTCCAAGACTGAATTTCCTGGAGTAATTTAGAAAGCATTTCCACCCCAAAGAAGCAGGCCACCTTTTCCATCTGTTTATCACTGCTATTCTTAAAAGGGGAGGGAGACTACTACTATGAAAAAGTCCACTCCATGTGTACTAGGCTGCGCAAGAGAAGTTAACTTACTCTTTCACCTGTAACCCACACATCCCTACATAAGCCCCTGAAAAACGTGTTCCTCTGTCTGAATCAGTTTTCCAATGCAAACATTCCCCCAAAGATCAATATTCAAATGACTGAGAAACCTAAAATTCAGTACTCCCCGCCCCCAATGACACCACGCGTACACACACGAACCAGCAAAACAAGCCCCTATCCCCAGTTCAGATACAAACTCTGCCTTGCAGTTACTCTCCCCTCAAACAGGCAAGGCCCATTTGGTCAACACCCCACCGCCTTTCCTTGGACCAAACCCATTAATAGACACCCCGTCCTAAACTCCATATTCTTCCCTTGCCCTACTAGCAGCTCCTTACTCTACACACCCCCTCCCCATTTGATTTTTATCCGCTCCTCTTCCATCCGGGAACCCCTTCCCACAACCCCCTCCTATGACCACCCTCCTCTCCTGATCACTGTGTCCCCTCTCACAGCGTTCCTCTCGTAAAGGCATCCGCGTGTCAAGCTGCCCCTCCACCCACCGACCCTCGCACGGGGTCCAGCTCCCACAAGGGGTGGGAGACAGGGTCCCCAAAGCAGACCAAGGAAGCCCTGAGAGGGGGAAGGGAGCTTAGGGCCGTGCGCATGCGCTCCAGGCGCCGCGGTGGCCGGTCGCCCCTAGGCCCGGAGAGGGCCCCAGCCGCCGCCGTCGTCCCCCACCCCCCCACCACCGCACATACACGCCGGCCCGGCCTCAGGCTCCGCGCAGAGAAGGATACTTAAAGCCAGCATTTTGGACTGGTAGTCGAAGGCTACCACCTCGCCCTGCAGCCGCTGCTCCTGGCACGTCCGGCACGACACCTGGCTCCCAACGCTGAAGTACTCGCCCGGAGGAGCCGCCATCTTGGGAGAGCAGCCGCGGCCGGCGGCGGCGGCGGCAGCAGCGGGCGAAAGCCGGGCGCCCAGTGAGCGCCGCGCCGCGACGCACGGGCCGTACTGACGTCACACGCCGAGGCGTGGCCTAGTGTTGGGTGGGGCGGGCGCTTAGGTGAAAGAGGAAGGAAGAGGAAATAAAGGGGACGCTGAATAAAATTATGTTTGTGCAGCTGCGCCTCCTTGGTAAAGAACTTGAAGGATCCGTTTTAGAAGTTAAAGCTAGATAACCTAAGTGAAATGCAAACGGAAAGGAGGAGAGAACTGTAGTCTCCATTATATACACACCTTGACACAACAGCCTTTGATGAATGAACTCTATATTTTATATGTGAGGAATCCAAGGCTCAAGACTTAACACAAAACTTACCCAAAATGATTATACCTAGTTACAAAGTGGTAGTGGAAAGAACGTTGGCTATAGAACTGGCTAAACCAGAATAAAATCCTAGGTCTGCCACTTGCTAAGTTATATGACATTGAGCATTTTACTAAACCTATTCCTATTTCTTTTTTTAAATTCTGTTTTCTTTTTTCTGATCCTATTTCTTTCTTCCTTCTGTATTAACACTTATTGAGCACCCAACAACACTTTGAGGTAGGAATCAATATCCTCATTTTACAAATGAAGAAACTAAGTATTAAGAGAAACTAAACATGTCCAGAGTCGCCCAACTAGGAAGGATTTGGTCTACCTGTTTAAAAACAAAAACAAAAAACGGTGCTATTTACAGATATACTATGCTACATAATACCACATAGAAGTTAAATGAGATAAATTGTATAAATGCATGGCATGTAGTGGTTAGGTAAATGGTAGTTCCTCTAAGATCACACGTCACCCTTGGAACTGAGGATGCTTCCCCATCTCCCTACAGTCTTGCCCCTCTTCTCTAGTGAGGAGCAGTGATAGTGACAAAGGATGCTTGGGGCAAGAGTTTGGAACCAAACCATAGTACACATAAGTACTATGCAGATGAATTTTTAAATCCTATCATTACCAATTGCTATTCCTAACCTACCTATTCCCCATTTGCCACCCTCCCATGTAGAAATTCTAAAGCCTCATGTATGAATAACAGGTTGACCTTTCTCTAGTCCAGAGGGAGGCAAATAGCCAGCCCTGGCACTACTTAACCTAAACACAAAGTTCAAAAATGTTTCCTTGCCCTGCAAGAGACATCAACTTCCTAATGTTGGGCATATATTAGTACAATCATTTAATAGGAATAAACACATTGCTCTCTCATACTTGTGGTTCTTCAGAGAACTTTCATGTCTGGCCCCCATAACAAGTCATATGTAACTGCCATTCCACTTTTGATATGGCATTGTGATTATAGGTTTTCATATGTAACTGCACTGTTGGGAAAAGCTTCCAGGAGGAAGTGAAAAATCTGAGACCTGGAGGACAAGGTGGAAAAGAATGTTCTAGGCAGAAGGAACAGCATGTGCCAGGACACCTAAGAGGAGAGAGCTTGGTGTTTTCAAGGAATATAAAGTAGCTCCAAAGTATTATGAAATAGAGTGTAGGGATAGGCTGTTGAAGGTTGTCTGGCAAGAACCCATAGCAAACTTTCAAAGATTTCAAAAATTTAGGTTTTTCTCCATGAGGCAGTTGAAAAATATTTAACCAAAAGAAAGAGAAAAGAAAAAAAAAATTTAACCAGGCCCTGGCCACTTTGGCTCAGCGGTTGGAGCGTTGGCCTGCAGACCAGAGAGTCCCAGGTTTGGCCCCCGCTAGGGGCACGTACCAAAAAAAGAAAAAGAAAAACATTTAGCCAGATAGTGAAATGAGATTTATATCCAAGTTCCCTTTTCCACAACTTTTTAATTCATGAAATTAATCTTTTTCCAAGAATACCCAGATTTACATTCTCATTTTCATCCACTCATCAGAAAACTCTCCAAGACAAAGTTGCTTGAGGTAGGAACTGAGAAGTCGCTTCAACAGCCTCCCCTCTCACTCCCCTTTGCCTCTAATGCAGGGCCTCACCTAGAATAGCTGAGATTTCTATTTCTGTGTGTGTTCCTCCACAAGATTATTCCAAATTGTATTGTGGGTGTGTATCCTCTCCTCTTGCAACACACTATCTCATGGTTCATATGCCCATTTGGATTTTTGAAGGGATGAGGAGGCAAGGAGGGGGGCTAGGCAAACTTAGAACTAGAAGTATGACTTGGACTCTCCTGTGTGTAAGCATTCTCAAGTCTTTAGGAAAGACTACTCAAAATCAAAAGGCTTATCTGTCAGCTTTCAAATCAACAGTGGATGAATTTGGGCAGGGCAGTCTCGGCTTGTGGAGGAAGGCACAGACTGATTAGCGCCGTGTGCAAATTTAGGGTCCCACTTCAACGCCAACCAAGTACGTGTGTCTGGTTCCCCGGAGGAGGGGGTGTCTGTAGCCCCCTCTACAAGAGATTTCAGAATATCTTTGGAGGGCAGCAGTACTGGAGAAGGGATATCTGATCTGAAGGAATCCTGGCCCTGGAGATTACACATCCATCTTCGCAGCAAAGCAGGGACCTGAGCGCGCCGCAGACTCTTGCTTTAGTCTGTCCCTTAACCCAGAACAGTAGCTGTAACCACCTCTACGCCCAAAGCCCACGTGCCGGCAACAGCGGCCACGTGGGGCTTTGCGGAAACGCCTTCGCAAAGATTTGTCCCCTGCGCTGCCCAGTAGAGAGGAAAGCCTAAGAAGAGCTGGAGGAAACGATACCCGCCGGGGCGGGGCTCGCGGGAGCCTAGGGCTGCCAGAAGCGGGCAGGGGAGAGGGCGGGGCCTGCGCCGGCCACTGGCGGGAAAGGCGAGGCCTGGGTCTCGCTCGGGTGGGCTTTGGAGGGCGTTGGTAGTAGCTTCCTTGTCACCCGGACTCCTCGGCTTCTGCCCTAGAGTAAAACTCGGCCCGGCCAGTTAGTGGTTCGCCATGGAGTCCACGCTGAGCGCGGGCATCGCGATGGCCGAGGCGCTACAGAATCAGCTGCCCTGGCTGGAGAAAGTGTGGCTTTGGGTCACCTTCCTGGGCGATCCCAAGAGCCTCTTTCTGTTCTACTTCCCAGCGGCCTACTACGCCTCTCGCCGCGTGGGCATCGCAGTGCTGTGGATCAGCCTCATCACCGAGTGGCTCAACCTCATCTTCAAGTGGTGAGATAGCGAAGCCCTCCGGCCGTCCTGCTTCCCCCACTCCCAAGGGCCCTGAGTCCTGTGCAAGCCCTGGTCTTTCAGCGGGTGCCTCAAAGGCTAGATCTCCCCCACCACCACCACCAGTGAACACCTGGCCGTTAGACCACCCATCTTGGATTCAGACCTCCGAGTCTCCATCATGCTCATTGGACCAGTGTCTCCCAAAAGCTCCTTATCAGAAATCGCCTAAGGGGCACGTTTAAAATACAAATACCGCCCTGGTCGGTTTGGCTCAGTGATTAGAACGTCAGCCCGCGGACCTATGAGTCACGGTTTGATTCCATTCAAGAGCCCGAGCCCGTACCTTGGTTGCCGTTCCCCAGCCCTAGTTGGGCTTGTGCCAGTGGCAACCAGTCGATGTGTCCCTCTCACGTTGATGTTTCTCTCTCCCTCCCTCCCACTGTCGGAAGATAAATAGAAAAATATCCTCCGGTGAGGCTTAACAAATACGTAAATATATAAAATGCAAATACCCCATCCCACCTAAGACATAATAATTTAGAAACTCCAGCAGAGGAGCTAGGAATCTGTATTTTATTCATGGTGATTTAAGTAGCCTATTGACTCATTTATTTGACATAGTTGGTTTTTTTTTTTTTAAGTTTTTCTTTATCTTTTTTTTTTTTTAATCTCACCTGAGGACATTTTTTCCATTTTTTGTTCAGATAGAGTGGGAGAGAGAGAGGGAGAGAGAGAGAGAGAGAGAGAGACATCGACGTGAAAGGGACACATCGAGTGGCTGCCACCCACATGACCAACCAGGGCCAGGGACAAACTGCAACCGAGGTATGTGCCCTTAGCGGGAACCGAACCCGGGTCTCTGGACCGCAGACCGATGCTCTAACTGCTGAGCAAAACCGGCCAGAGCAAGTTTTTCTTTTTCTTTATTGATTTTAGAGAGAGAGAGGAAGGGAGGAGAGAGAGAACATCAATTGGCCCTCTTGCATGCCCCCCACTGGGGATGTGGCCCACAACCTAAGCATGTGCCCTGACCAGGAATAAAACCCTGCGACCTCTTGGTGCATGATTCAAAGCTCAACCACTGAGCCACACAGGCTGGGCTTATTTGACATAGTTTTTAAGAAACATGCTTTGTGACAGGCTTCACACTAGCTGCTGAAGTCGAGAAGGCTTGCAAATTAAGGTGTAGTCCCCAGAACATGACCAGCAGCATAGGGAACATTTGAAAACTTGCTAGAAATGTAGACTCTCAGGCTTGGGGCCAGAGCTACTGTATCAGAACCTGCATTTTACCAAGTATCCCAGGTGATTCATGTGTAAAGTTTGAAAAGCCGTGGGCTCATTGCCACCCAGGGAGGACTTTCTCTCTTTTTTTTTTTTTGGTACGTGCCCCTAGAGGGAACCAAACCCAGGACTCTCTGGTCCGCAGGCCGACGCTCCAACCGCTGAGCCAAACCGGTCAAGCTCTCTTCTTTTTTTTAAACTGTTGTTTTTTCTTTCTTTATTTTTATAGAGAGAGGAAGGAAGAGGGAGAGAGAGACAGAAACATCGATGAGAGAGAACATCGATTGGCTGCCTCCTGCATGCCTCCCACTGGGGATTTGGCCTACAACCTGGGCATGTGGCCTGACCAGGAATCGAACCAGCCACCTCTTGGTGCATGGGTCAATGCTCAACCACTGAGCTACACCGGCTGGGCACACTTTCTCTTCTTTTTCCTTTCACTCACTAGTAGGCTCTTCACACAGATTTATAAACCAGGAATCACAAGCAAGTGGGTGGGGCCCTTGGGCTTATCTCTTTGCCACCTGTTCTGTCTTGGGTGCAGAAGTAGCTATGTCTCTTGCTGGGCATGTAACTGCACCTCCCTTCACCTCAGCCCGTTGCCAGATCCCCAGCCTGGTGGAGGGAAGGGAGGCTCATAGAAGACACTTGTATGGGCTGGAATGACTTTCTGAAAAACAGAATTGGTGTTACCATCCCTTCTACTTTTTTGTGTGTGTGTGGTACATGCCCCTAGCAGGAACCGAACCCAGGACTCTCTGGTTTGCAGGCTGGTGCTCAACCGCTGAGCCAAACTGGCCAGGACAATCCCTTCTACTCTTCTCTGCAAGGCTTTCACCCCTCCTGTAAACAAAAGCAGTTGTCTGATAATTTTCTTCTTGCCTATTTGCCCTTTACTTTGTGTTCTCCCTCAGAGCTATGTAAGCCTCCTTCTCTAGTCCTGTTCCCCTAAGAGTCAGACAAACCCCTAAGGTAGTCTTATTGCCCCCCAGCCCTCCTCCCACTTAACAAAACCCCCATTCATTTGCTAAGTATGTGTTGAGCTTGTTGGTGTGAGAACAAGACTGTTTGGTGAAGAGAAGCAGTCCCCTCTGTACTTCCCTCCACAGCACTTGATTTTCTGCCAGCCTATCTTCTGCTCTTGCACCCCTTTCTGGCCACAGCAGCCTCTTCACTGTGTGATTTCCCAGGGTCCAGCCAAGCACCTCCTAGGTCAGGGGAGTTTGAATTTTTTTGTATTCCTTATTCTTTCTCAGCTTTCTCTGTCCATTCCCCACTCCCGTTTTCAGACAAGAAACGTAACCTAAGTAATTCAGGTGTAGGTAATTTGGGCTGGAATTTGGGAAATGGAGAGAGGGAGAAGCAAGAGGCTTTCGATGGATTAGAAGAGCAGAGCTGGTCCTGCAGTGGGAAGGATAAAAGTAGGACTTCTGAGCATCTCAGAGCATACACACACACCTCCCACAATCTCTTACCTCATTATCACTTTAAAAAAATTTTTTTTTCTTTTATTGATTTTTAAAGAGAGAGGAAGGAACAGGGGGAGAGAGAGAAACATTGATGATCCCCTACTGGGGATCGGGCCCACAACCTGGGCATGTGCCCTGACCAGGAATCAAAACAGTGACCTCTTGGTGCATGGGTCGACGCTCAACCACTGAGCTACACCAGCCGGGCCTCATTATCACTTTTTAAAAAATAGTGTGCTTTCTCCTGTTCCAAGGTAAAACATCCATGGCAATGTAACAGCACAGAATTGGACTCCCTTTCTGACTACCCCACAAGCCCTCCAGAGTACTCCAGGTGTTTTTCTGACCCTCTCCTGTCCCCTGGCTCTGTGTGAACACATCATCATCTTGCATCTGTTCTCTTCTAGGCTCCTTTTTGGAGATAGGCCCTTCTGGTGGGTCCATGAGTCTGGGTACTACAGCCAGGCCCCAGCCCAAGTTCACCAGTTCCCCTCTTCTTGTGAAACCGGTCCAGGTGAGAAGCCTCAAACCTCCCTTTCCCAGTGGTTAGGATTTGGATGAGTGTTTCAGAGTACTTTTCAGCTAGGGCCCAACGAAGAGGCCCACCTCACAATTACCAGACCAGAGAACGAAGAGATCCTAGGAAGACCAAGTTGAATTCTGGCAGGAGAGTACCCATGCCAGTGTGCCACCTGCCCACCTTGTTTAGAGTAGAGCCAAGAGTACAACAGTGGCCACAGGGAGAGGTGAGACAAAGCTTCAGGGCAGAGGGAGCTATGGACCAGTGCTGGGGAAAGGCTCTCTTCCCTGCCAGGGGGAAGTAGTTCTATCGAGCTATCACCAGGGGCACCTGGGTTCCACCCCCATCCTCTCACAAATTTCTGTATCCCCCACAGGCAGCCCTTCTGGACACTGCATGATCACAGGAGCAGCCCTCTGGCCCATAATGACAGCCATCTCTTCCCAGGTCGCCACTCGGGCTCACAGGTACACATGGGCATTATCCACCAGTGGGGGTAGGTGCAATGGTACCCTGGACCCAAAAGACCCACCAGCAGGGCAGCTTGGGAGCTGGCGTTCTGGGGACACTGGGCATTTGTGCTGTGGGAAGCCAAGCTGTGTCCAGACATCCCCTGGACCATTTGCCTCTTCTTTTTAGCCGCTGGGTGAGGGTGATGCCAAGCCTGGCTTACTGCACCTTTCTACTGGCTGTTGGTCTGTCCCGAATCTTCCTCTTAGCACATTTCCCTCACCAGGTGTTGGCTGGCTTGATAACTGGTGAGCAACTGGGACAACAGGATGGGCCCAGAGGGTGCTGTTGGTAGTGGGAGAACCAGTCTAGGATCTTCCCATTGTACAGCCAACCTCAAGGCTTCCCTTATGTCTGTCTGTTTTGTCAAACTGCATTGTAGCTTGGGGGAGAGGGGGAGGGACGGTCATGTCCCCAAACTCCTTGAAGCTGCTGTCACTCCACTCCCCCAGGTGCTGTCCTGGGCTGGCTGATGGCCCCTCGGGTGCCTGTGGAGCGGGAGCTAAGCTTCTATGGGTTGACCTCTCTGGCCCTCTTGCTGGGTGCCAGCCTCATCTATTGGACCCTCTTTACACTGGGCCTGGATCTTTCATGGTAAGTCCTACTTTGAAGCTTGGGCAGGCTGGGTCTCCAGTTCACTGTACTAAAAAGGACACATTACCTGTTCATAAACATAGACTGTCCTGGGGTCTCAGAACATGGGAGTAGGCCCCAATGGGGGTAAGAGCCATTGGCTCTGTAGGTTCTAGAAACATCTCTCCTGACAAAGATTCTTTCTCCCCACAGGTCCATCAGCCTAGCTTCCAAGTGGTGTGAGCGGCCTGAGTGGGTGCACATGGACAGCCGGCCCTTTGCCTCCCTGAGTCGTGATTCAGGGGCTGCCCTGGGTCTGGGCATCGCCGTACACTCTCCTTGCTATGCCCTAGTAAGGCGAGCATACCTGGGAAATGGCCAGAAGATAGCCTGCCTTGTGCTGGCTATGGGGCTGCTGGGCCCCCTGGATTGGCTGGGCTACCCACCTCAGATTAGCCTTTTCTACATCTTCAATTTCCTCAAATATACCCTTTGGCCATGCCTGGTCCTGGCCCTCGTGCCCTGGGTGGTGCTCACATTCAGTGCCCAGGAAGCACCACCCATCCGCTCTTCCTGATTTCTGGTTTCTCCTACAAAGCCAACACTCCACGACCTCCACCCTCCAGGAGGCAGCCCCATCCCCTTCCAACACCCCCAAAAGGCCATGCTAATCTTAAATTTCCCACTTCTCCCATCAACTAGCTTAGCCCCAAAGAAGGGCCTTTTTTCTCCTAGAAAGGCTGGTCTTCCTCCTGCCTTCCCTTCCAAGTCCCCAAAAGGCAAAGGCAATAGCAAGACCAGTGGGTTCCTACAACACTGTGAGGGGTTCAGAGTGGCCCCAATAAAGCCCTTCAACACTTCTGGACTCTCTTGCCTTATGCATACATCACTGAACTTGCCCGTGTGTGTGCAAGTGGAACCCTGGCTGGGCTGCCTGTTCACCACCCACTCCAACCCTGTTTTCACAGAGGCAGAATCGAAAGGGGAGGGCTGTAAACTCAGTCGAGACATTAGACCCTGGGCACTATCACCACCTAGGCCATGTGAGAGGTCCTATGTGGTGCTGTGGCTACATTCAGTGAAACCTTGTCTTTAACCTACTGGACAAAGATCCACCCCCTCCTACCCTGGCCTCCTGTTTCCCAAATTGGTTAGTCCAGGGGCTGGAGAGAAGAGCAGTTTTTTTGGCTAAGAGGGGAAATAACCTCGACTCTATTTGGGAGCCCAGAGAACAGAGACACTGGCTCCAGAAGGCACTGCCAGAAACAAATTTATTTATACAAGGACACACAATGTAATGGGTTACAAAATACTTAACTGAAAACCATATCCAGGGAGACAAAGCAAGGAATGGGTTTACATGAGAACCAGACCAACCACATGAAGATGGGGGGTAAGGAGTCCAGAGCTGGGGCTCAGCATGGGGAGGCCTGACACCCTGAGCCCAGCCCCATCCCCATCTCCCAGGAGGATCTAGAACATACAAGACACAAGTGCACAATGAACTGATGGTGGTGGGACTCCTGCCCTTCCCCTGACTCCCTCAACCCTGCTCAGGCCCCCATCAGGATAATAAATATGTAAACAGATTGGTGGGGCCCTAGGGATGGGATGAAAGAAATATATGTAGTTTTGGGAAGGAGGAGGAAGGCAGACTCAGCCCCCTAGGAGCCACTTCCCATCTTTGGTTTCCTACAGGCTGGACAGCATTCTCTAGAAGCCTTGTGGGCCCCCAGCCCCAGAACAGGGCGAGGCTGGGCTCCTAGGAAAGAGAAAGGGCAGTACCCCTTCCTGGTCTTAGGTTCCGTGGGCTGGTGGCCAGCAAAGGAAGCCCAGGAGGAAGGGGAGCTCCAGCTGAGGGTAGACTCCTGGGTTTCCAGGTTCTGGTCCTGCCCCTTCTTGAGCCCCCATTCTCACCATCCCCAGGCTTCAAAGCAAAAGGTCTCAGGAGGGAGGTGGGCCACTGACCCTACTACTTGCAGCATGCTGGAAATCTGGTCTTGAACAACAGGGTGCTCTCACCAGCTTCCAGCGCCACCTGCAGGGACCACCTTCTTCCCCTCCCTAGTCTGTGCCAGCAGAGGGGCAAGGCCAACAGAGTAAGGTAGAAAGCAGGCCTCAATCTGTGGCTCCCCCGGGCCCCTCAGAACCCAGGAGTCCAGCCCCATCCCTCCCCATCCACTCCAGCCCTTGGAAGGGAAAATAGGTCCTGAGGAGTGTAAAGCAAGACAGCCCTGCCCATAGACCTCAGGCCCACATCCTAGGGCATAAGCTTCCCTCTGGTGCTGAGGCCAAGAGAAAGGAGGAGAGAAAGATACCTGCACAAGATGGTGAGGTCAACAGAGGGGAAAAAGGGTGGGGAAGCATTGGATGAGAGCCCACCTCCCCTCCACTCTACATCCTAGACCATATAGAGACCCTCCAGAACCTCCCAAAGTTGGAGAGGAGAGGAGGGTGAAATTAAGGCATCTCCCCCCAAGTCAGCTGAAGCCAAGGCACCAAACTTCCTGTTCTCTCCTCACTCAGGGAGACTCCAGAACCAGAAGGTACTATCTGGGCCCCCATGCCCACCTTGAGCTGGCCCAGGCTCCAAGGGGGAAAAGAACAGAATTTGGGAAAGTGGGTAAGAGATACAATATGGGGAGGGGCTGCAAGAGGTACCCCCATACCCTACAGAGGGAGCAAACTTCTAGAGCTAAGATGTGGGCCATAGGGGAAGGGGCCTGAGACAGCTTAGAGGAACAGGAGGGGCGAGGCTGAGAGACCCACACGGCACACGTCATTGAATGCGTGACTTTTTGTTTTTAATAGAAAAAATAAACAAAATCACAATGATGAAACCCAGAGGGATGGGGGCCAGGGCGTCACAGGGCAGGGTCCTGCTCCATAGGCTCCTCTGCTGGCCTGTGGGGACAAGCACATGGAGGGTACTGAGTGGGGTCCTCAGCTTAGTTGAGGGTAGAAAGGTGGAAGGAACCTCACCTGGGGCTGTGCTCCCTGGCTGTAACAGCCTGGGCTTGCTCGGCCCCCACTGACAGCAAGGCCATGGCGCTCACAGTCTCGGCCTCCTCTGTCTCCCCTGCCTGGGCCTCCCGCAGGGAACGACCCAGACCGGCAGCAAATTTCTGCACACAACTCCAGTGTTTGCCTGTGGATAAGAGGCAAGCAGGGAGTCATGAAAGGCAGAAACCCCCATATGTCCATCCCCAGCACTGGCACACCCCTAAGCTCCACCCTCCCTGGCAAGGTCTGAGCCCCTCCACCTGTGCCCACATACTCTGGATCTCGATGACTTTCTCTAGCGTTGCCACTGCGTTGATGTTGGGCTTTTGCTGTAAGACTGTCTCATCCAAGGGCTGTAGCTGGCAGGAGAAAGAAGAGAAGGCTTAGGGTGGGGAATGGGTGGTGGTGCCAGCTGCTCTAACCACCCCATTCAGCCTCAGACATCTCATGATAGAAGGAACCCCTACTCAAAAAGCCCTTCCTGGCCACCAGCTGTCCTTAGGACCCAGAAAAAATTTCCCAAGGGCGCTTGGTACTGCTTGACGCAGGAAGGAGCCCAACCTACAGGTACTTCAGCCCATGGCCTACTGTCCCACATACCTCAGCCCCTCCCTGAACTCCTCACCTCCACACTAAGCAGAGCCGAGACGCAGGCCTCAGAGGCATCACAGATGGCGGTCAAGTCATGGCCTCCTTCCAGGGCCAGCACCACCCGACCCCCCGCCAGTGTCATCAGCTGCCTGGTCAAGTGGCCAAAACCTTTAGGGATAAGTGAAGGGAGATGTAATGGTTAAAAAAAAATCAATTCAAGAAAAGGTAAGAAAGGAAAGAAATAGAAACAAAAGGTGGGACAAACAGCATAAAATAAGATGGTAGATTTTAACTCAAATGTATATATATCAATAATAAAATTTAGTGTCAATGGACTAAATGCCCCATTAAAGACAAAACACAGACTGGCTTAAAAATGCAATTACATGTCTTATAAGGAACACCACTGAAACAGGACATATCAACAAGCTTCATCCCTAGGACTCCAGGAGGAGGTACACCCTCTGCTACCCCACCACCACCCCTCCTTGCTTGCCCCTCAAGGCCAAGGTTGACGGAGGGAGACTGGGGGGCACTGCCAGGATGATTCCAAGTCTTGGACCTGCCCCAGCTCACCTCCCAACTGTGCAATATCAGTCTATACCTGCTCCATGCCCCAACTCGACCCATCCTTACTGTTCCACAGCCTCCCTTAATCCCCCAGCAGGCTCACATCTGGCGGTGACAGAGTAGCCACCCAGCGGAGACAGGTGTCCCTCAACAGCATCAAACCCGGCGGAGACTAGGACCATGTCAGGTGAGAACTCGTGGGCAATGGGCATCACCACTGTCCTGCAAAGGGAGGGCCCAAGCTGACCCTGGCAGGAGGCTGAGCCAGGCCTCATCCCACTGTGCCCCCCCAAGACAACCCCCTCCACCTACACCGAACTGAGTGCCTCTACCCCTCCCACAGCAGGGCCCAGGGGGACTCCCACCCCTCCCTTGGCCCTTCTCAGTCTTCACCTGAAGGCTGTTAGGTATTCCACGTCTCCGATGGGGGGGTCCACACCTCCCGTCCATGCCACGTTCACATTGTACCCCACACCCGGCCCTCCGCCAACCTGGCAGCATGGTGGAGGAGGGGTTATTCTCACTGCCTAGGGATCCCAGACATTTGCCCCACCCTCAGTCCTGCCTCCAGCCCTCACTCCACTGACTTCTGCTCTGCATGGAGGAGCAGGTGGCCAGCATGGTCCTCCCACTAGGAGCCCAAACTCCCCAGGTACCAGCACCACCAAGGGCCTGCAGGACTCCTGGCCAGATCCCATTCTGCTACCTCCCCAAGGGGCCCCACATTTGAGCCCAGGAGGTGTACCTCTTCAGGAGCCCCAGAGCCTGGAAAGAAGTTCCCGTTGTCATAGCGATGCAGGGAGATGTAAAGCACAGAGGGGTCATTGTAGAATGCTTGCTGGGTGCCATTACCGTGGTGAATGTCCTAGTGGGGAGAAGTAAAAGCATCAGGAAAATGGCCCAGACTCTAACCCAAGAGTTAAAATTCCACTTGTCCCCTACCCTCACCCTATGGTGAACTCTGTGGGTGCAGCCCACCACTAGCTACAGGGCATCTGTGTTCTGTTCACAACAGTAAGTATCACCTCATGCTTCTCTAACCAGGGTCTGTGCAAGGGAGATATAAGCCGTGAGGTGAATGTGGCGACTCTCTATACAGTGTGGAGGACAATGTTAAGCCCAGTAAGGAACTAAAAACAAACAGATACATTCTGAATAAAAATTCAATATTGACGTGAATTTTCAAGCCAAAGTTGGGCTTCAGAGAGATTTCACCCTTGATGAGAATTGCTTTTGGCTACTTCCCCAGCTCACAGGGAGTGCTGGGTGCCTTTCCCTCTGCCAAGAGAGGCAGGATTTGAGAAGCACTGTGTAGGAACAAGAGCAGAAGTGCTGGGCCAAAAGGCCCGATCTGAAACCCAATGCCAACATCCTAAGCTAAGCGACCTTGGTTGGGTAAGTCACCCAACAGCTCTGTGTCTCCATATATAGAAACAGACATCCTAATTCTTACTATGCAAGGTGGCATGAATACACTGTGTGTCCAGACACATGGTGAGCCCCAGTTGAGAGTGGCTCTAGCAATGATGGTATTGGTCTCTACCGTTCAAGGTAGAAAGTCCTCTCAGTTACTTGAGGCTGCAAAGTGGGGGCCAAGATGGACCAGCGGCTAAAACCACTTTTGAGTCTTCTAGTGAGGAGGGAGCCCCAAGGAAAGGAGGCTTGGGCTAATGCTCCAGCTGGAGGATATAAGGTAAGCCATCAGGCCCAGCTCCTGAGGAAGAGGGGGCAGGCTTGGGTGGGGGCTTCTGAAAGGCTGACCCTGGCCCCAGCAGCCCACTACTTACCCAGTCCACGATGAGAACCTTGCCCACGTTCAGCTTCTGCTGCAGGAGTTTGGTTGTGATGGCTACAGAGTTGAAGAAGCAGAATCCCCTGGGGGAGGAGGGAAAAAGGGCAGAAAGGTCAGCTTTAAAAGCGGTTTGCTCCATGACCAAGATACGCAAATCACTTTGCTGAGAGGAAGTGAGGACAGCAGGTCTAGGGCAGGGCTGGGAAGGCACTCACATGGCTGTAGATTCCTCAGCGTGGTGTCCTGGGGGCCGGATGATGGCAAATCCATTCTGAAGAAGTGCAGACAGGAACAGAGACAAGAGAGACAGGCAGGCAAGGTGGCCACAGAGGGGTAGACACAGATGGAGAAAAGCCAGGCAAGGAAGAGAACACAAGTCAGAAACACATTATCATACACATCTGTGGACAGCTGTGGGCCACGTGGGCAGACAGGCAGACCATCTCTGGCCTTGAGATACCCACGAGAGCACCAGATATTAATGCTACTTTGTCGGTCCCTCATTACCCCTCATCCCCCCGCTGGCCCTGGAACTGTCACCTCCTCCCAACTCTGGCACCTGAAAGTTGATGCTGCAAAGACCATGCCTTACTGAAAGGAAAGCTAAGTCTGCCCCATCCTGGGCTCCTGAGGATACAGGACCAAGCAAGTGGTGCTGAGGCCCCCTTGCACACACTCACCTTGAGCTCTCCAGCCGCCACCTTGAAAGCCAGTTCCACCAGGCAGCCTACTGCCATGCGCACAGCACTAGAGGAGTGCATCTCATTCCATACGGTGTCACTGTCCACCTGCAGGGGCAGGAGAGCAGGCTTCAGCGTGCCCCCTGCAGGGGGAGGGCAAGAATGGGGATGGGCACCTGGACAGCCAGCAGCTGTGTTGGGCAGGAAGGGAAGGGCCAGAAGTGGGAGAACCCCCCCACCCCATTGACAGGTGCCCTACTCACCCCGATGCCCCCACAGGGCAGCATGGCATACATCTTCTGGCTGATGGGGCCTGCAGGGAAGAGAAACAGAGCTACTCTGGAAGTTGCCTCCACTGCCAGGGCTGTAGGTTGGGTCTGCAGAGGACAGTGAGCTCAGTAACAGAAAAAGAAGGCTGGACCCAAGCATAGGATAGGCTTCTGCAGCCCATACCACTTGGGAGATGTCTGACCCCTGTTCTGGAGGTATATCCTATCTCTGGGGCAGATGGAAGGGAGAGAGGGGCAGGATTAGTTGGGGAAAAAAGCAAAACACAACCCTATCACCAAGTCTGACCCATTACCTTCCACCCTGCAATGCATATTCTATGTCAACGGAGTCCCCTGGAGGTGTGCGATACGGTACCATACCACCTCTGCCATGGGGATGACCTGTGCTCATCAGGACCCACTTGCCTACCTTGGCCAAACAGTCTTCCTGACAGCCCGCTATCCCACCCAGGCAGTAGGCAAGGCCTGGCCCACACCCTGCCCATCAACCTGCCAGCTTACCAAGCAATTTCTTGCTGTCCAGCTTCTGTCGGTTGAGGGGGCTGGTCCCATAGAGCAGGGTGTGGTATTCAGAGTGCACTGTCTGAATCTCGTCCAGTGTGGCTTTTCGACCCCGGATCCGCTGGCAGGGGAGATCAGAAGGGTGGCACTGAAGGTCCAGCTTTCCTTGATGCCCAGACCCTCTCTTTGCACCACAGACTGGGGCACATGGAACCACTTCTGGCCTCAGGAGATCCAAAGATTTTTGAGAAAGTATACCCTAGACCCACCAGGGACCCAGTTCAGCACCCTCCCCCATTCAGCTGGGGACCATGGGGAAAAACAGGCTAAAAGGAATGGAACTGGGAGGTAGCTGAGGGGACTGGTACTGAGGTCAGCGGTTGAACAGAGACACGGGGAGAGGCTTCACCAGCAGGGAGACAAAAAGGCCTTCTCTGGGTTTGAGTTGGGGGCTGGAGGTAGGAGGGGCTCCCTTACCTCACACTTGCTAAGCAGGCCCGTCTCCTGCAGCCGGGACCAGATGCTCTGGATACGGCCAGCGTGCTCAGGGTGCACGTGTGTGTTTCCGCACATGCACTGGTGCTTCAGCATGAATGTGTCGTAAACCACACCTGAGCCAGACACACACCTGTCAGCCAGCTCTGCTCTAGGCTGTGTGATGGCCTGGCCACTGCAATCCTCAGAAGAGCTCACTGAGCTCTCCCCAGCCCACCCCGGCCCAAATACCTCCTCAGGGCCACCCCAGCCACCCTCCCACACACCTGCCCCTCTTCTCTCCTCCTGAAAGGTTTTCCTCCATTACTGCCTATGCAAACTTCCCTGCTCCTCAAACCTCAACCAGGCTGCTCTTGATATCCACACTGGTTTTGATTTCTGCCCACCATGCCCCCAACACTGTACTCTCATGGAACATCCTCCTTTTCTTACTCCTGTCATGGCTCCTGTGTGCTGCCCCCCACCCCCACTCCCCACTTGTGAGACGAGATCATCCTCAGGCATCTGTGGCCCCCTAAGAACCCAGCACAGGGCAGCTTCATGTGGAAGAGCTTCCTGGAATGGACAGAGGCCTCACTCTTGACCTCACAGGGAGAAAGGGGAAGCTAGAAGGACAGAATCCAACTAAGACAGTGGGCTTTCTCTACCCACTGAAGGGCTTGTGTAGTGATGGCACAAAATCAGGTGGTCCCTTCAGCAGTAGTGGGTGGGGCCCTGAAAAAGATGCTGCCCCAGTGGGTGGGGACAGGGCACTCACCCAACCCCCTCCCAGTGGGCAGAGTCTGTCATCACTACTACAAGTGGCTATGGTGCATAGGGAGAGAACAGAGAGAACAAAGGCCTGTTTTCCCTCCCTTCAGGGCACTCTGAGGGGCCCTGGCAATCCCTTCAGGGCACAAACTATATCTCTTCATAATTTCACAGCCTGAATGCCGTGCACAGGCCCCTGGCACAAAGGGGAAGGGCTGTCGGCAGTAGTAGGGCTAACCTGTGGTGAAGAGGTGCTTGGTGGGCTGGTCTGGGGGGCTCTTCATGCCCCCAGGAGCAGCAGGTGAGGACTGGGTTCGGCCCAGGGCCTGGTGGGGCACAGTGGACAGGCTGAGGGGTGCCTGGTATACCTGCAGTGGCTGTAGCTGTTGGGCATCTGAGAACACCTAGGAAGGAGGAGTAGGAGGGAGTCTAGGTGAGACTTAGCTTGAGATGGAAGTGAGGACAGGTACGCTGGGGCTTCTAGGGGGGGTCCCCAATCCAGCCCTTCTAAAACTTCTCTTTCCCCCACCTCCTCCCTCCAGGAACAGAAGAACTCCTTGTCTCCATCTCCTCGGAGATGGGGAGGGATGGGAGGACAGTGATGAGTCATGCCAGAGTAGCATTGAGGTAAGAGAGTGTGGGAGAGGGTGGGATGAGTCAGACCCGGAGGGCTCAGCTGTGTCCGCAATGAATGAAGTGCATGCTAGGCACAGGGCAGACTGTAGTAACAGTGGGGGCGTGTGTGTACACACGCAAAAATTCACGCACAGGGACCAACGCACAATCGACCCTACGCAAGCAGAAACGCAGATATAGCCACATATACACATGTCCCTGTACACACACACACACACACACACACACACACACGCAGACAGACGGGGGCAGTCACAGATACAGAGGCAGGGAAGAGTTGGTGACTGGTGTTGACAGACAGCTCTGAGACCAACACAAGCAGCTCCTCCCTTACACAGCCCCTTGTCTCTTTCCTACTCCCTTTTTGCTCTCTTCAGAAACCTGGCCCTGCACAGCCCGGGCACTGCAGATTGGGGAGAAGGAAAGGCAAGGGTGAAAGGGGGCAGGAAGAACAGAGGGATGGTGATCAAGGACTGGGGGAAGGGTACCTTTTTGTAACCAGCACTGGACTCCTCCAAGTCAGGTCCCTCCTCAGCACCACTCTCGCCCTCCTCATCCTTGACCTGGATGTAGTCCTCCTCCTCCTCCTCCTCCTCCTCCTCTTCTTCCTCCCCATCCTCCTCCTCCAGATCTTCCTGCGTGCTCTCACTCTCCGTGGAACCTTCTCGGGGTATGGTGAGGGCTCCCTCCCCCAGCAAGGCCTCCTGCTGCTCTGTCAGCTCCTCTTCTGTCTCCTCAGGGTGGGTGGTGGGCTGTCGAGGCAGCTCCCCAGTCTTTGTGAGGATCTGGAGCAGAGCAGAGGGGGCACATCAGCTGGGAGCAGGAGCAGCTATGCAGTCTGTGGCCCAGTAGGGCCAATCCTTCCCTCCCCTCTCCCCTGCAGCCACCCAGCCCATACAGAGTTATGTAAATTAGAAAAAGGCAAAGTGGCTCCTCTGAGCAGATACAGCACCTAGGAGTGACCTAGGGTGTCAGTCCCCTTTCCTTTCCTGCCAGACTGGTCCTGCCCCCAGCAGAGCCTTGCACATTTGCTTCTCCCAGCTCACCTTGCCCAGCTGCAACTGCTGCTGCTTCTGCTTCTCCAAGAACTGCTGGTGCTGCTGTTGCATGACCAGCTGCTGCAGGGCCTGGGGGCTCTGGGGTAGCGGCGAGGACTGAGTGCGGCTCAGGGGCCGATGCCTCGGGAGCTTGCCCACCGTCCGCATGCTGGTAGCCACTCGTTCACCTGTCACCAGTGGGGACTGTCCATGGAGAGGCACTGTGGGGTGCAAGGGGGGGAGTAACCATTATTGTCAGGCCTCTATCCCATCCCAAGACTATTTCCTTCCTGAAATACCGCCACCTACATGCACAGGAAAAACTGTGGAGGAGCCTGGAGCACCCTGTCCCAAAACTTGAGCCCTGTTCTTCCTTCTTTCCATAATTGAACAGTCTCACAGCTCAGAGCCACTGTCTCCAGCAAGCCTTCCTGGATTCTCCATTCTCTCCCTTTGATTCACTTATGTTTGCACATACAGTCTCAGGTCCTCTATGTGAGTGAAAACAATGGCTAGTTCTCTCCATCCACAATAAGACCTCCCTGATCATGAACATGGACCCCACCAAGCTGGGGAGCCTGGGAGCCAGGATCACATGTCTTTTAAGCAGCACCTCTTCTAATGCCACAGACTACTTAAGGGCTGACTGTCCAAAGCTGTGCTGTCAAATCCCACAGCTGCCAGCCATACGTGACTACTGAGCACCTGAAATGTGGCCTGTCTAAATTGAGATGTGCTCTAAGTGTGAAATACACACAGATTTCAAGAGAGTGTGAAACACAAAGTAAAATAATATCTCATTGATAGCTTATTTTGATTATATGTTAAAATGATAATATTCTAGACACAGTGAGTTAAATACGTTATTAAAACTAATTTCACCTGCTCCTCTTTACATGTTTTTTTTTTTTTATCCTCACCCGAGGCTATTTTTCCATTTTTTGTACAGATAGAGTGGGAGGGAGAGAGAGAGAGAAACATCGACATGAAGGGACACATCGAGTGGCCGCCACTCGCACGACCAACCAGGGCCAGGGACAAACTGCAACCGAGGTACGTGCCCTTAGCGGGAACCGAACCCGGGTCTCTCTGGACCGCAGGCCGACGCTCTAACCACTGAGCCAAACCGGCCAGGGCTCTTTACATGTTTTAATGTGGCTACTAGAAATTACATATGCAGCTTCTGTTATGTTTCTACTGGACAGCGCTGCTCTGAAACGTGAGCTCCCTCACGGCAGCAAATGTTACGGAGAATGGTATCTGGCAGGCTGTAAGTACTCAGTAAGTCTGCAGGTTGTGGAAGAAATCAGTGATGCCATTGAGGGAAGCTATGACAGGGCTGGAAAGTATCCCTGGCTGGCTCTCCCTGATGATCTGCCTTGAGCCCCACAAGTGGGGCCTGACCCCGCTTCCTTGCACAGCAGCCCGCCCACTCACCAGCAATGAGGGTGCTCTGCTGCCGGGCCTGCTCCAGTAGCAATACATGCTGTAGCAGAGAGGCGTGCCCATGGGGGCTCGTGTCACCTTCCAGTGCCACGCCCAGCAGGCAGCCAGGGATAGAGGAGGTGCTCATGAACTTGCCAGTCAGTGCGCCACCCTGCCGCAGGGACTGAAGGGCCTGCCTCTCGGCCTCCTGCTGTGTTGACAGTTTTGGGGAGGCCTGGGAATGGAGTGGGGAGACAGAGATGAGGGAGGAGCTTATATTGCCCCCAGTCCTGCTAACTTTATTTATTTATTTATTTATTTATTTGGTATGTGCCCCTAATGGGAACCGAACCCGGGACTCTCTCGTCCACAGGCCAATGCTCCAACCGCTGAGCCAAACCAGCCAGGGCAGTCCTCCAAACTTTAGACCAGAATCCCTCACCTACCCTCTACCCACCTCCCACCTCTGAGGTAGGCCATGTGATCTCCCTCAGGGCCTAGGGAGGACAAAAACTCCAGTAGTGGCCATCCAGGGCCAAAGAACTCAACACCAGAGAGAGGGCAGGGTATGTGCCCATACTTACGGTGAGGTGCGAGTTGGTGACAGTGACTGTGGCCTGCAGCCCTAGGGAGATGTTGGGCAGAGAGGGAGACGTGTAGAGGCTGAACTGGTTGGGAGAGCTCTCCAGAGGGAGGGCCCGGTGCTGGGGGAGCATCTGGGGAGCAGTCAGGAGAGACAGGCATGAGCATAGGCAAAGGGGGGCCACCTGGGGCTAAAACTGAGGGCTCTAAAAAGTGCCCTGCTCCCCCCATCAGGCCTCATCTGCAGGGGACTAAGAGTCACAGCCCTTCAGGGGCCCATGGGGCATATCCCACTCCAGGGCAACATGTCCCTCCAACCCATCTACATAGGAAGAGAGGACCCTGATGGGCACTCCCAGTGAGACAGATCAAAAGAACTACTGTTCTTCCTCCAAGGGAAAAGAAGTACCTCAGTCCCGCCCGTCCCACCCTGGCAGGCCTGTACCTCGGTGGGGATGTTGGGGACTGAGCCAGTAAAGCCGTTCTCAGCGATGGTGCTGTGGGAGCTGTTGGGAGAGCTAGGGCCAGAGCCTGGCGCGCTGTTACACACTGACGACACTACAGGAGAAGTGGCGGTCAGCTAGGCCTGCTTAGAGCCACCTTTACTCCCAGGCCCTCGGAACAGGGACAGGAGAGGAGTCCTTACCCCCAGGTCCGGCACCTGTGATCTCAACAGCTCTCTTCTTAAAGGTGCTAATGACAGTCCCATCCTTTCTACGCAGGAGGGGACTGCTTCTCCGCTCAGCCACCTTCTGCTTTAGCCTTGAACGCACCTTCAAGTTAGGTTCAGAGGCTGGAGAGAAGGTAGCCAGGGCTCAGACACATCCACACAAATGGACACACACTGAAGCCCAGCCTCTCTACATTCCCTCCTCCACCTCCCAGGAGCCATATTCTGGAAGACCAGGCTGGGCATTCACTCACCTGTTTTTCGGAGGGGGAAGTCATCACGGCTATCATAGGGCCCAAGCAAAGGCAGTTTGTAGGAGGGAGGCGTCCCAGGGGGGCCACTCTGGGGAGGGGAACTCTGGTCCAAAGAAGCATGGTGGGCTCCCCTACGGGTTGCAAGGTGGGAATAGAGACAGATCTGTTATCACTCAGACAGCTGGACCTGCCATCTTGCAGTCTACGTTTATGAAATACCCACTGTATGTAGGGACAGAAAATGGATCCTGAAGAGGAAATTGAGGAGAGAAACTAAGAGTGAGATTTTCTAGGAGAGACTGCAGGGCCCACATATGGCTTCAGGCCAGAAACCCCTTTCCAGCCTGCAGGAAGATAGCCCCTGAGCAGGGTACCTCTGCAACCCATGCCCGCCAAGGGTCATTACCAGCATTTGGGATGCTGTGGGAGGGAATGGTTGAGGCCGCCTGGCGTGGGCTCCTTTGACTTTGACAGGAGGAATTCCTGGAGCCGCAGTTTCACCTCAGTGCTGGCGATGGCACCTGCAGGACAGGGCATAGCTGACAGGGTGCTTGGCGACAGGACCCCAGAACTGGGGATGGGGCAGGAGTCCCCACTGGCCCCAGGAGGCCCCAGGACTTACTCTCTTTGCTCTTCTCCTTATTCCGCAGGATGAGCAGCTGCTGTTCTAGCCGCTGCTTCTCCAGCTCCTCCTGCCGCTGTTGCTCCCGCTGTCGCTGCTGCTCCAGCTCCTGCTGCCTCTTGGCTGCCAACATCTGCTGCTGCTGCAAAGGCACAAGGGTGGGGAGACAGGGTGAGCAGGTCCGGGCTGGGGTCAGAGGTCTGGGTGCCCCCCCCCACAACCCCCTCGCTCACCTTGAGGTGCTTCTGCAGCTGGACCTCATGCTGCCGTGTCAGGTGGTCATGCTGTTTCTGGAACTCAGCAAACAGGAGCTGCTTCTGCAGCTGCTGCTGCTGCTTGAGCGCCAGGAGCTCCTGCTGCAGCTGCTGCTCCCGCAATGCAGGGTCCACAGAGCCTGCCAGAGCACCCCGCAGCTCCACTGGGCTGGGGCTGCCTCCACCCCCACCACCCATGGAGCTGGGCATGGCTCCTGGCAACACCGGCTTCACCTCCACTGTGGGGAGAAGAGACAGATAGGGCTCAGGAGGTCTGATCCCAGATCCCACTAGGCCCTGGCAGCCATGCCTAGCACCTAGAGAGCTACCAAGCAGCGCCCTGTCCAGTTTGGCTCAGCGGTTAGAGCACTGGCCCGTGGACCAGAGAGCTACCAAGCAGGACTACTGGACTGAAAGAACAGAGAGAGGTGGGAAGTCAAATCCTCTGCTCTGGGGATACAGCCTTCTGTCTCAGTTAAATGAGGATGAAGCCATGAACTTCAGTAAGAAAAGATGCATAAGCATGAAGCACTGTAACTAGAAGATTGTGAGTGCTCAACCCATGTTATTGTCATTGACAGTTAACACCACTGAGTATTTTATATGAATTACTTTACTGATGAGGAAACTCAGGTTTCGAGAGGCTTAAGTAACATGACCACAGACAAACAGACAGGTAATCGATGGACCAGAATGTGAATCCAAATGCTATGCTTTTAACCACTGTCCTTACTGTGCCTCCTCCCCTACCTCTTAACACCACACACTCCCCACCAAGAAGCCTATACTAAAAGAGAAACTGAGGCACAGAGGTTGGTTCTAGAACTGATAGGGCAGTAGCCAGGGCCCTCGGTAAACCCAGGAGAGGCCTTTGGGGACACTCTAGACATCCCTACCCTTTTCTCCTCCCCACACCCCCTAGGGCAGATGAAAGCTGAAAGGAGAGGCTAAGGGAATGGGGATGAGGTGGAAGCAGGAGACCTCAGGGAAAGGGGGTGCAGGGCTATACCAAACCAAGGACAGGAGAGGGCTGGGAGTCAGACTTGCTTCCTTTGCTGGATTATCTCCTTTCAACAGTTTTATTGTAATTACCCTGAAAATGCCGCTATATATAGAGTGAGCCAAACAGCAGCTGTGCCTAGAGGGAGGAGGGAATGAGAATGGGAGAATAGGAGGGCAGGCGCAGAGAGGAGGTGGGAGGAGGAGACAGGAAAGGAAAGGGAATCAGACAGGAAAAGGGGTAAAGGGGGGCTGGGGCTGAGACAGAGAGCTCAGAACTCTGGTCCCAGGGACAACCCGCTGGGAGGGGAAAAGGACCCTGCTGGGTCCCAAGACCTTGGGTCCAGGCCCCCATGTGGACAATGGGCTGGTGGGCCCCAGGGAGTGGCAAAGGGTTCCAATGGGAAGGACAGGTCTCAACCTCTTGATCCCTAAACACTATCCTCTGGTCACTGAATGTCACTTCCCATCACTGCCCTGTGGTTGCCAGGGCAAATCCCACACCAGCAAGGAGCCCCAAACCCAGCCCACACCCCACAAAGCCTCCTGACGCCAGCAGGAAGGGAAAGGCAGGCTACCAACCGCCTGGGAAGGAGGAAGTGAGAGAGGCAAGGCCAACCCATCTTGTTTCTTTTCCATTTCTTTCTCCAAAGAAAGCCCTCACTTTCCTCACTCCAGCCCAGGGAGGCCACAGGGAGCTGGCCTCTGGGAAGACTCCTATGGCAAGGGACCACTCCAGCCCAGACCCAGAGAAAAGGACCCCAACATCCTGATGCCTGCCAGTGTCTCCTGCCCTTGTGAGCAGGCCTCTTGCTCAGGCCCCCACCACCACCCCTCATCAGGAATCCAGGGAGGGGGTGAAGGCTGAGGTGAGAGAGGCTCCCACACCCTGTGCGGTCTATGGGGCGAGATCTCTCCAGGAAACCTGCACTGAAAGAGTGTCACTAAGGCAGGGGCTAGGCCTGCTGAAGGCCAAGGCTGTGCAACCCTCATGCATGAATATGGCCTCTGGAACCCACTGGGTGTGTAGAGGTGTAGCCTGAGCAGAACGTCTCTCTCAGTCCCCACCAGCCCCTTCCCACCCGCCCCCCAGCACTGCTAGGCACATTCCTCTGTGGTCTGCCCACCAGCCACACTGACGACTCTGCGGTCAGGAGGCCAGAGCCACATCTGTAGGAGTGGCCAGATATGGCCAAGAGGGTGGGGCTACACACACACACACACACACACACACACACACACATCCACTTTTCCGCCTAACCCATGTCCTGTCCCAGCACCAAGGCCTTTCTGCAGGTCGCTGGCATCATCCAGGGTACAAAGCAGGGTGGCAGCAAAGAGCCAGCAGCCAGCCTCAGCCCTCCCCAGCCCTGGAAATGCTCATCAAGGCCCCAAGCTGCCCCGGCTGGTGGGGTTCAAGTTGTGCCATACATTAAGTGGTCACTGGTTCAATTCCTGGTCAGGGCACATGCCCGGGTTGTAAGCTTGATCTCCTGTGGGGGGCGTGCAGGAGGTAGCTGATTGATGTTTCTTTCTCCTCCTTTCCTTTCTTCTCTCTCTCCACAATCAATAAAAACATATATCTATCTATCTATATATCTATTTACATATGGATATATAGATATATTTTTTAAAAATAATTTTATTGATTAAATTTTAGAGCGAGAGAGATAAAATAATCAATGTGAAGAGAAACATCTATCGGCTGCCTCCTGCACGCCCCCCACTAGGGACTGAGCCAACAACCCGGGCATGTGCCCTGACCAGGAATTGAACCAGGACCTCTCAGTCCATGGGATGATGCTCAAACCACTGAGCCACACCGGCCGGCCATATATTTTTTTTTAATGACCCTTCAGCCCTGGCTGGTTTGGCTCAGCGGTTAGAGCATTGGCCCTAGGACCAAAGGGTCATGGGTTCGATTCAGGTCAAGGTCATGTACCTGGACCTGGGTAGCAGGTTCAATCCCCAGCCCTGGTTGGGGTCATGTGGAAGGCAACTGGTTGACATGTCTCTCTCACATAAATGTCTCTCTCTCTCCCTTCCACCTTCTCCAAAATTCAATGGAAAAATATCCTCGGGTGAGGATTGACTAATAAATAAATAAACAAACAAACAAATTAACCTTGAGAGAGAAAAAAGCTCCAAGCTGGCTGGAGAGTTATCAGTTCCTAGGTAAGCCTGGCTTGGCCGGGTGCACTCCAATCACTCAGCCAGGAGGTAAACAGGCTTCAACTTGCTGCTCCGGCAGTGCCGGGGCTGAGGGAGCCGATGCCAGCCCCCTGCCCATGTAAGGGCAGGGGTTCAAGCACTCCTGGCTCCTGGGATATTATCCTGCTCAGGATGAAACTGCCACCAGCAGTGCTGGCTTCCCTTGCAGGAGCCCTGCAGAGAGGGCATGGACTCAGGTGATGGGAATCTCCCACAAGAGCTCCCTCAAAACCACAGCCACCACCACCACTGCCAACAAGATGCTAGCCCCTGCACTACAGTGAGAGCAGCAACCCCACTGGTATGCAGGTGGTGGGATGACCAGTAGGTTCTGCCACGTAGCATTGTTCCCACGCAAGAAGGAAGCATGGGCAACTGGAAAACATTAACCTGAAGGTCCTCTGGAGCCTGGTCAAGATGCAGTACCCCAGGGGCCTGCCAGGTAGTTACCTGGCTCCATCCAAAATGGAAGGGGCTGCATCTGAGCAGCTAGAGTTAAGGAAAGGATAGGGGGACGCACTGAGCCCCTAAATGTAGTCTGCTGGGCACAAGACCTGGGACCTGGCTGGCCTTGCATCCCCTCAAGGATCTGTGCCCTCCACATGCTTGGCATGAGCAGAGTAGGTGGCAGTAGCTGCCATCACAACCAAGCATCTGGAAGGTGAAATGGGTGTGTCATGAGAGGAGGCTCTCGATCACCTCCTGGTGGACAGAGAAAGGTGGGAGAGCCTCAGGAAAGGAAAGAGAGTGGGCAGGACAAATTGGGAATTTGCTAGCAAGGAGACCACTGAAAGGCCAGGGGAGGGGGTCATGTGGAAGGACAAGGCCCTGGGTCCTTCCTTTACCCCCATACCTCCTTCTGACAGAGAGCTGTCAGACAGACAGCCCTGGCCAGTTTTTCTCAGTGGTTAGAGCATCGGCCTACGGACTGAAGGGCCACAGGTTCGATTCCTGGTCAAGGGCACGTACCTGAGTTCCAGTTGGGTCGTGTAGAAGGTAGCCAATCAATGTGTTTCTCTCACATAGATGTTTCTCTCTCTCTCTCTCTCCCTCCCTCCCACTCTTATCTAAAAATCAATGGAAAAAAATATCCCAGGGTGAGAATTAACAAAAGTAAGCCAAACAGCTGACACAGCAATCTCCTACAGGGGGAAGGTGGAAACACTGTCTACCCTACTCCAGACTGCTCCTTCCTGGGGATTCTGACCCTTCCTCCTGGGAGCGGTGGCCCTAGGAACAAGCGGCAATACCATCCTGTCCTCTCGCCTTCTGCAGGTCTGACGGATACTACCCCTGTGGAGAAGCCCAGACCAGGAAGCTGGGTAGGCAGGGCTGAGTACTTCAAGCCATCACAATGACCCTACACATATCAGGCTCTGGCTCAGAAGGAGCCTCCCTGCAAAGTTCATGGGCACAACAGGGCAGTGGCGACAACTTGGTGACACTTTCTTCCCGTCTAGCTAGGCCTCCTGCCTCTCCATGAACCCCCTTGGTCCAGTGGGGGCTCCCACAGCAGATTCTTTGGGCAGCACAACCAGGGATAGCCTAGATCTTTGGGGGAAGATAATGCAGGTGCTTATGGGCAAACTTTAGGACAACTTCTAGCACAGCCTTAGACGAGAAAGACAGTGTCCAGCCAAAGAGACAGTGGTTTTAGCAGCACCTTTGAAAAGAAGGGTTAAAATAAAAAACAGATTTAGCTGCCCAAGAGTAAGGCCAAGCCTTCCTCCTGCTCTGAATACACCAAAAGCCATGCTCCAGCTCCAAGCCCTCTCTTGGAGAAGTAACCAACTCCAGAATACCTGCAACCCAAACAATGGCAGCAGGAAAATGGTACCTTTAGTTCCCCTTGGAGAAGCCCTGGAGGGAGCAGGGCAGCAGAGTGTGTGAAACTGCCCGGCAGACCTAAAAAGCTTAACAGTTAGCTCTAAAAAGACCCCACTCCCAGGAGCCACCAGCCGCAGAAGTCTAGGGAGGAAAAGGAGACCAAGTGTATGTAGAATATGAGAAGGTGTACATTAAGCTGTTT